AAAAAAAAAAAAAAAAAAAAGAAGTAAAAGTAGGGGCCCTACTATTAATGCTGCCAAAATAAAAAGGATCATAAGAAGAGTATATAAGCAATTATTTGCCAAAAATTAGATGATTTAGATAAAATACACAAAATCTTAGAAATACAAAATTTACTAGTACTACATCACGAAAAATAGGAAAACAGAAAAGATCTATGAACAGTAAAACGACTAAATTGATAAAAAAAAATCTCCCAGCAAAGAAAAGCCCTACATTAAATAGTTTCATTGGTGACTTCTACCAAACATTAAAAGAACTAAATCCAATCCTATTCAGAGTTTTCCAAAAAACTTGAAGGGGTGTAACTTTCTAACTCATTCCATGAGGCCAACACTGTCCTGATATCAAAGTCAGACAAGGACTCTACAAGAAAACTACAGACCATTATCCCTTATGGACAGTGATGCAAAAATTCTCAATACAATATTAGCAAACAGAATCCAGTAGTATATTAAAAAACTGTACAGCAAAGGCACATGGGATTCATTCCTGGAATGCAGGGATGGTTCAACATATGCAAACTGATCAAAGTAATTTATAATATTAAGGCAATGAAGAAAAAAACCCATTATTATCATTTCAACTGATACAGAAAAAAAAATCAACAAAATTCAACACCCTTTTTTGAAATACTCAAAAACTAAGAATAGAAGAACATTACCTCAACATAATAAAAGCCATCTATGAAAAACCCACAATAAACATCATACTCAATGGTGACAAACTGAAAGTTTCCTCTAAGATCAGGAACAAGGCAAGGATGTCTACTTTGAATACTATTCAACAACATAGTACTGGAAGTTTTAGCAAGAAAAAGAAATAAAAGCCACCTAAATTGAGAAAGTAGTAAAATTATCTCTGTGTACAGATGATATGATCTTATATGTTGAAAACCTTAGAGATTCCACCAAAAATCTATCAGAACTAAAAAACAAAACAAAAAAAAGAAACAAAAATCACCAAAACAGCAGGATACAAAACCAAAATGCAAAAATCAATTGTATTTCTATACATTAATAATGAACAATCGAAAAAGAAATTTAAAAAACAATGCCATTTACAATAGTATCAAAAAGAATAAGATATTTAGAAATTGAACAAAAAGGTAAAAGATATAGGATGAAAACTACAAAACTTACTGAAAGAAATTAAAGACATAAATGGAAAGACATTTCATGTTCATGGATTGGAAAACTTAATGTTAAAATATCAATACTTCCCAAAGTGATCTACAGATTCAATCCAATCCATATCAAATCATGGAAATGCAAATTAAAGTCATGATGTTTTAAAAGGTTTATTTATTTATTTTGTGTGAGAGAGAGAAAGCATGCAAGCAGGGGCCAAGAGAGAAAGAGAATCTCAAGCTGACTCTACTCTGCGCACAGCCCAATGTGTACCCATGAACCATGAGATCATGACCTGAGCCGAAATCGAGACAGATGCTTAACTGACTATGCCACCCAGGCACCCCTAAAATCATGATTAAGTAACACTATATATCCAAGAGATTAGCAAAAGCTTCAAAGTCTGACAATGCCAAATGGGGACAAGGACACATAAATGTGGAATGTAAATTCTGGTAAACAGGGTGACATTAACCTGCAAAATTCAAGTTAAATATCTTCTATGACCCAGCAATCCCATTTTAGGTATATACTTAGAAATATAAAGGTTTATGTATATCATATAACAAATGTTCAAAGCAACATTATTTGTAATTGCCAAAAACTGGAAGCACACAAATAAATGCCTGTTAAAAAAAAAAAAGCTACCAAAGACTACCTACAGTGTGATTTCATGTATTTGAAGTTAACAGTTGGCAAGACTGAACTATATTTTATATGGATATATACTATGAGGCAAAAATCAAGCTGAGTTAGTCAAACAAAGTATATTTTGCTTTTTGGGAGTCTACCTAATTTAATCCACCAAAGGTGAAGCTCAATTTCAAAGCTGTGACTCTTGTACTTACTCCCAAGAATTGGGAATCAGGAAATCAGTATTCCAATTCAACTTTCAGCAATAACTACTCTCAGGTGTTAATTAACTGCTCAATTTCCTCACTGTTTAAATTTAAAAAGGTGGAAAAGAAAAAGAAAAAAAAGATGACCTATACTTCACCCTCAAGTGTGATGCTACATACAATAAATACAATGTCACATATATATTATTAATATCTTGCCCCAGATAAATCTTTTTCGAATAGAGAAAAGTAAAATAATAAGTATAAATGATGTTTCTCCTGTTACTATTACTCCTCACCAGCAAATCAGGCATTTAAGGAAGAATGTTTTTATCTTAGATTCCTAGAATGCTAAACAACTCATTAAAAAAAATACCTACTTTCAGCTAGGAACTGCCATCTTCTAGTAATTTGCAAAATGACCAACACAAAGGGAAAAAGGAGAGACACCCCTATATGTTCTTTAGGCCTTTTAGCAAACATGGAATTGGTACTTTGACCACATACACGCAAATCCACAAGAAAGGTTATACCATAGACATAGAGGGGATGGGCACTATTCAAAAAGGAATGCTGGACAAATGTTACCAAGGCAAAACTGGAAGTCTATGATGATACCCAGCATGCTGGTGGCATCGCTGTAAATAAACAAAGACGAGATTCTTCTTGCCTAGAAAATTATTGTCCATACTGAAAACATTAAGTACTCTGACAGCCAAGATAGAGCTTCCTCAAACATGTGAAGGGAAATGATCATTAAAAAAGGAAGCCAAAGAAAAAAGTACTTGAGTTCAACTGAAGTGCCAGCATGCTCCAACCAGAGAAATACAGTTTGTGAGAACCAACGAAAAGAAGCTTCAGCTACTAGAACTCACTCCCTATAAATTCATGGCCAAGAAGGTGTAAAAAAACAAACGACCTCTAGGGGTGCCTGGGTGGCTCAATTGGTTAAGTGTCACTCTTGACTTGTCCCAGGTCAGGAGATCATGCATTGACAGCACAGATCCTGTTTGGGATTCTCTCTCCCTCTCTCTGCCCTTCCCCCACACACGTTCCCCTTCACTCTCCCCTTTCTCCCCCAAAATAAATAAATAAACATTAAAAAAATAAATAAATAAAAGACCTCTGGACTGTTAGAAAAAATTTTAAGTAACTGAATTATAGAGACTAAAATACTCGTATACAATAACTTACCTTCCACAAGCAATCTGAGTGACAATGCTTCCCATAAGTTCAAAAACTTTCCTTGGATTTATTTCATGACTGGTAGAGTTATGACCCAACTGACCATACCCTCCAGCTCCAAAAGTAAACACTCCACCTTCCTTAAAAAGAAAAAAAAAAAAAAAAAAAAAAAAAAAAAAAAAAAAGACAAAACTCTTTATCATTAGAAAGCCTGATGAAAGAAAATAATTTAAGAAAAGAAGTTAATCTTTAATATATGGAGTCAATTTTTCTTTTCTATTGTCTCCACAAGTTAACAGATGATAGCTGACCTTTCAAGGTAAAATGTTTTAAAACTAAGTTCCAGGTTGAGGTTATTTTCACATATTTTAGAAGTACTTAAATGTGTTCTCATTATACTTAGAGCCACCATTAAAGAGATACTAATCATTTTTTGCATTGCCTTTCACTATCATTATATTTACTGAATCCCAAGTACATAACTATAAAATATCACAAAACCAAAAAATGGTATCATCTTCAGTTTTCAAACTGGTTATGCTTTTTAACATAAAAGCTGAAAGAGTATAAGTAAACCAGAATGCACAAATATACCTATTTTTAACACATAGTTGCTACAATATACAGTTGACCCCTAAACAGTGCAGGGGTTAGGGATGTCAACACCTTCTGCAGTCAAAAATCCGCATACAACTTTTGATTACCTAAAAACTAATAGCCTATTTCTGACTGAAAGCCTTACTGATAACATAAACAATAACCACTTTTTTTTTTTTTTTTTTTGGCATAAAAGAAAGGCTACACAGTTTACCTGGGAGTTTTTTCAAATTGTCACAAATCTCCAAAAACTTTTCCAAAGTATTTGTTGAAATAACCTACTGAGCCACTCAGGCACCCTAAAAAGTACTGGAGTACTTTAAAGCAAACTGTGGTCATCAAATCATCTCACCTATAAATATGTATGTATCTTCAATGGCACAAACCTCTAACATATAAAAACATACAATACAGTAATACTATTATCACATTTACAAAATTAGTATTAATTTCTTGATAGAAACAGCAAAAGTGTTTTTACTTCTTATGGTTTTTTGTAACTGGTATCATTTTCCCCAGTTTTATTTAGGTATAACTGAATTGCCAAATAAAATTGTATATAAAGTGTACAATGGGATTTGACATATACATACATTGTGAAATGACTACCACAAAGAAGTTAATTAACACATCAACACCTCACATACTTTTTTTTTTTTTTTTTTTTTTTTTTTTTTTTTTTTTTTTTTTTTTTTTTTTTTTGATAAGAATGCTTCAGATCTACTCTCCTGGAAATTTCAGGTACAGAATACAGTATTGTTAACTACAGTCACAACGCTATACATCAGATCTTTAAAACTTACTCATCTTGTAACAGAAAGTTTATATCCTTGACCAATTTCCCATTTCTTTACACCCCACCAGCCCCTGGCAAACATTCTACTCTCCATTTCTACAGATTTGACTTTTTCTTTTTAAAGATTTTCCATATAAATGATACATAATATTTATCTTTGGCTTATTTCACTTAGCATAATGCCCTCCAGATTCATCTATGTTGTTGGAAATGATTTCCCTCTTTTTTTGTGGCTGAATATTATTCCAGTGTGTATGTGTGTGTACACATATATGTATAAATCACATTTTCTTTATCCATCTACCTGGTAATGGACACTTAGGTTTCTTGGCTATTGTGAAAAACTGCTACAATAAACATGGGAGTGCAGTTATCTCTTCAAGAACCTGTTTTTATTTCCTTCAGATATGCACCCAGAAGTGGAATTTGCTGGGGCATATAATTCTATTTGTAATTTTTTTTCTTTCCTGTTTTTTTTTTTTTTTTTAAAGTAGGCTTCATGCCCAGCAGAGTCCAATGTGGAGGTTGAACTCATGACCCTGAGATCAACACCCAAGTGGAGATCAAGGGTCAGACACCCAACCGACTGAGCCACCCAGGTGCCCCACTATTTGTAATTTTTTGAGGAACCTCCATACTGTTTTCCATTTGCACCAGTTTACATTCCCACCAGCAGTGGAAACAAGGATTCCCGTTTCTTAACACCCTCACCAATACTTGTCCTTTGGTTTTTGATAAGAGTAACCCTAACAGGTGTGAGGTGTTATCTCATTGTGGTTTTGATTTGCATTTCTCTGATGATTGTGATGTTAACATTAAGCACCTTTTCTTGTACCTGTTTGGCTATTTGTGTGTGTGTGTGTGTGTATTTTTTTTTAAGTTTATTTATTTTGAGACAAAGGAAAGAGTGTGTGCACGAGCAGGGGAAGGGCAGAGAAAGAGGGAAAGAGAGAGAATCCCATGCAGGCTCCACACTATCAGCACAGAGCCAGACAAGGGACCCAATCCCACAAACTGTGAGATTTTTAACCTGAGCCGAAATCAAGAGCTGGCAGGTAAACCTACTGAACCATCCAGATATCCTTTGTATATATTTTTTGGAAAAGTATCTATTCAGCTCCTTTGTTCGTTTTTAAAATAGACTATTTGTTTTTTAGCCATTGAGTTATAGGAGTTCCTTTTATATTTTGAATATTACCCCCTTGTCAGATAAATGGTCTGCTAATATTTTCTCTCATTTCATAGACTGCCTTTTCACTTCAGTGGTGTCCTCTGTGGAGCCAAAACTTTTTTAGTTTGTAGTCCCACCTATTTATTTTTGCTATTGTTGCTTGTGTTTTGACCAATGTCAAAGGGTTTTTCATCCCATGTTTTCTTTTACAAGTTTTAGTTTCAGGTTTTACTACATCTTTAATCCACTTTGAGTTGTTTTATGAGTGGTAAAAACAGACATCCAATTTCATTTTTTTACATATGGATAATTTTCAAGCACCATTTACTGAAGAAGCCAACCTGTCCCACTGTGTGTTGTTGGTCCCTTGTCAATGATTAGTTAACTATATATATGTGGTTTTATTTCTGGGCTGTTTGGTCTATGTGTCTGTTTTTATAAAGTTGTATACTGTTTTGATCACTACAGTTGAAATCAGGAAGGACAATGCTCGAGCTTTGCTGTTCTTTCTCCAGATTGCTTTGGCTATTCCTGGTCTTTTTTGGTCCCGTATGAATTTCAAGATTGCCTGCTCTATTTCTATGAAAAATGCCATTGGACTTTTGATAGGGGTTACTCTGAATCTGTAGGTCAATTTCAGTAGTTTGGACATTTTAACAATATTAATTCTTCTAATCTAAGAACATGTGGTATCTATTTATCTTATGTCTTCAATTTCTTTCACTGATGTCATATATAGTTTTCAGTATACAGGTCTTTCACTCTTTGGTTAAATTTATTCCCCCCCCCTTTTTTTTTAATGTTTATTTTTGAGAGAGAGAGACAGAGCACAAGTGGGAGAGGAGCAAAGGGAGAGGAAGACACAGAATCCAAAGCAGGTTCCAGGTTCCGAGCTGTCAGCACAAAGCTCGGCACAGGGCTTGAACTCACAAACTGTGAGACCATGACCTGAGTTGAAGTTGGATGCTTTAACTGACTTAGCCACCCAGACACCCCATATTCCAAAGTATTTTATTGTTTTTAATGATATTGTACATGGGAATGCTTTCTTAATTTTTCTTTCAGAGTTTGTTCTTAGCATATAGAGATGCAATTGATTTTTGTATGTTGACTTTGTTTCCTGCAACGTTACTGAATTCATGTATTAGTTCAAATAGACTTTTGGGGGGCGCCTGGGTGGCTCAGTCAGTTAAGCGTCCGACTTCAGCCCGGGTCACGATCTCGCGGTCTGTGAGTTCGAGCCCCGCGTCAGGCTCTGGCCTGATGGCTCAGAGCCTGGAGCCTGCTTCCGATTCTGTGTCTCCCTCTCTCTCTGCCCCTCCCCCGTTCATGCTCTGTCTCTCTCTGTCTCAAAAATAAATAAACCTTAAAAAAAATTTTTTTTCAAATAGACTTTTGGTAGAGTCTTTAGGGTTCTCTATATATATGTCATGTGCAAACAGAGTCAATTTTACTTTTTCCTCTCTAGTTTGAGCACCTCATTTCTTTCTTTACTAAAACTGCTTTGGCTAGGATTCAGTACTAGAGTAGAAGTGACAAAGGTAGGCATCTTCTATCTTATTCTTGATCTTACAGGAAAAACTTTCACCTTTTCACCACTAAATATGTTTGCTGTGGGCTTGTTTTTTATGGTCTTTATTATATTGAGGTATATTCCTTCTATACTGAGAATTTTTATCATGAAAAGATGTTGAATTTTGCCAAATGATTTTCCTACATCAGGATGTTTATATGACTTTTAACCTTCATTCTATTAATGTGGTGTTGACTGATTTGCAGATGTTGAAACATTTTTGCATCCCAGGGATAAATCCCACTTGATCATGGTATATGACCATTTTCATGTGCTGTTAAATTTGGTTTGCTCATATTTTGTTGAGTTTTACACCTATGTCTGTTAGGGATAAGTAGCCTGTAATTTTATTGTCTTATGTTGTCTTTGTGTGGCTTTGGTATTAACATAATGGTGGCCTCATAAAATGCATTTAAAAATGTCTATTTTTCCAAAGAGTTTGAGATGGACTGGCAGTAATTATTAAATGGTAAAATTCACCAGTGAAGTCATCTAATCCTGGGTTTTTCTTTGTTGGGAGATTTCTGATTAATGATTCACTCCCCTTACCTGTTAAAAGTCTGTTTAGATTTTTCTATTTCTTCATGATTCACTCTTGGTAGTTTGAATGTTTCCAGGAATTTATCCATTTCATTTATGTTATCTAATTTGTTGGCATATAATTGTTCATAGTTTCTTATAGTCCTTTTATTTGTGAAGTATGGGTTGTAATGTCTCTTCATTTCTGACAGTGTTTAATCTATCTAAACATCTATCGATTACTTTTTTTAACTTTTCAGGAAAAGAGTTCTTAGTTTTGGTTATCTTTACTGGGTTTTTTAGTCTTTATTTCTGCTCTGACCTGTTATTTTCTTCCTTCTGCTAACTTTGGTTTCCCTGCCCTCCCCCCACCTCCACCAGTTCCTTGAAGTATAAATGCTGTTTTGAGATCTTTTTCTTAATGTAGCTGTTTATGTTATAAACACTTTTCTGGATTTATGGTGACATAGCTTATTTTTATCTATCTCCCTCAGAGCTGTTTTTGCTGCATCCCATAAGTTTTGGTATGTTGTTTCCATTTTCACTTGTCTCAAGATATTTTACTTCCCTTTTATTTATTTTTCGACCTAGTGACTGTTCAGGAGTGTGCTAATTTCCACATACCTGCAAATGTTCTAGCTCTCCTCCCATTATTGACTCATACCATTTCATACCATTGTGGCTGAAAAAGATACTCGATATCGTTTCAATTCTTTTTAAATTTGTTAAGACTTGTTTTGTGATCTAACATACGATCTCTCCTGCAGAATATTCTATTGTGCACTTCAGAAGAATGTGTATTCTGCTGTTGTTGGATGGGGTGCTCTGTATGTTAGTGCATTTGGTATAAGTGTAATACAAGTCCAATATTTCCTTACTGATTTTCTGTATGGATGACCTACCTATTGTTGAAAGTAGAGTGTTAGAGTCCCCTACTATTACTACTGTTTATTTCTGCCTCTAGCTCTGTTAATATTTGCATAATATTATTTAGGTGCTTTTGTATTGGGTGCATACATGGGTACAGTTGTTATATCCTCTTCAAGAACTGACCTCTTCAATTTTAATTATTATCTGATATTGATGCCATGTTTAAGTTTTCCTGATTATTTTATTTCATCACGACAAAGCACATGTCTGGTTGATAATGTTAAAAATAAGCAAGTTAACAAGTTTCACAGCCTAATCCATCCACATTAAGTTTAACGTTTTGATCTTTGCCTCAATTCATTATTAGGGAGTATAAAATGGAAATTTTCTAATCTTATTATTTCTCTTAGATTAGTTGGAATTCTTCTATAGAGAACTTAATTCACCAACTATTAAGTTATTCTGAAATACAATCTGCAAATAGGAAGCAAGAAAAATGTTTCCTTATTTATGAATTTTTAGAAAAATGAGTTGTCCTAGCAACTTTCAAAGATAAGCAATGAAGTTTGCTTTATATTGATTTGAAGAAGAGTATTATAATGAAGTCATGAATTTTTACATATTTGGTATATTTCCATGTATTGCCATTGTTACTTCTTTTTGTGAAAAACTCCTTGATGTTGTCCCACAGACATGACCTTAGTAGTCTCCTTTTTTGTAACACATAATACCCAAAGCTATTCTCACACTTTTTTGTTTTGTTCTGTTTTGCCCCAGATATGAAATCAGACTCTTCTCTAAGAAGCTCTGGTTATTTTTTATATTGAGTCTACTAAATCAAGTGATGCTCACTGCTTCCACATTGTACATGGCTAATTACTTCTAGGACCATTCAGTGGTCATGGAAGAAAAAAAAATTTTTTTAGAAGAAAAAGAGTAAGACTTCCTACTAACACTTCTGATTAAAAGTAAAGATCACAATGGGTGCCTGGGTGGCTCAGTTGGTTAAGCATCCAACTCTAGATTTTGGCTCAGGTCATGATCTCAAGGTTTTGTGAGTTTGAGCCCTACATCAGTCTCTGCACTGACCCTAAAGAACCTGTTTGGGATTCTCTCTCACTCTCTGTCTCTCTTTGCCCCTCCCCAGCGCATGCTCTCTCTCTCAAAATAAATAAACTGTAAAAAAAAAAAAAAAAAAAAAAAAAACTTTTTAAAATAAATAAAAGTAAAAATCAGGAGATTTTAATTTAATTATTATTGTTTTATGTTTCTTTTGTCTTAAGCTGAAAACCATAGTTTCCAGTAACAGTAAAGTACTTATTTGCTTTTTCTTATCCTGTATGTAATATATTGAAAGTAATACTATCAATTTTACTACTAACAGGAAGACTACAGAATGCAGTTTAAAATTTTTGTGGCAATTCGGTTTATATTCAGGCTATTTCCCACTAGTGATATACAACAAAACACTGCACTGTAAAAGGACTTAAAAGAATTCTCCTTTTGTAGTAGTGCCACTATTTTTTTATTTTCAATTGTTAGCAATTGCTTAAAAACAATATGTTTGCTTTTTAATTATATCTAACAGTTTCTAAGTTGTAAAGTCAAAATGATGAGGCAAGGTACATTTGATCTAGCTATTACATTTTTAAAAATATAAGTAACATATAACATGTTCATCTTTTATCCCTGCTTATACAAAAGGCAATTATTCTGTACCTTCCTCTTTTTACTTAACAATACATGCTGAAGATATTCCACAGCATAATACAGAGACCTTCCTTATTCTATTTTACAAGTCATGTTTACATGTTTAAATGTTAAACACCGGGGCGCCTGGGTGGCGCAGTCGGTTAAGCGCCCGACTTCAGCCAGGTCACGATCTCGCGGTCAGTGGGTTCGAGCCCCGCGTCAGGCTCTGGGCTGATGGCTCAGAGCCTGGAGCCTGTTTCCGATTCTGTGTCTCCCTCTCTCTCTGCCCCTCCCCCGTTCATGCTCTGTCTCTCTCTGTCCCAAAAATAAATAAATGTTGAAAAAAAAAAAATTTAAATGTTAAACACCTATTTTACAAGTCTTGTGTGGTTACCACAGTTTATTCAACTAGGCTGCTACTGATAGACATCTGCATTCTTTCGTTCTTTTGCTATTAAAATAAAGCCACAATTAATGACCTTGTGCATATATAATTTCCTATCTTTAGGACAGATTCTTAAAAGTAGGATTGCTAAGTCAAAAGATGTATGTATATGTGATTTGCATAATGAATTTGTTTTTTAAGCTTATTGATTTGAGCTTATTTTGAGAGAGAAAGTGCGAGTGGGGGAGGGGTAGGGAGAGAAGGAGAGAATCCCAAGTAGGCTCTGCACTGTCAGTGCAAAGCCCAATGTGGGGCTGGAACTCATGAACTGTGAGATCATGACCTGAGCCAAAATCAGATGCTTAACCAGCTGAACCACCCAGGAACCCCTGATTTGCATAACGAATTGGTAAATTAACCTAAAAAAAGTTGACATCTTTATGATAGTGTGTTCATACCCATTAACATACCTTTCTTTACATTATTTATTCTGTTTTTAAAAGTCTGTTTAAATTTTTCCTGATGTTGTTTTCCTAATACAGGTTTTGCACAAGAAAACTGCTTTGTCCTAAATTAGCAATCCTAATTTATTTGCAAGAAATTCTTCCAGAAAAACAAAAGATACATGGATATGGAACTATATTCTAACTTAAATCAAGGGAAATAAAATATTTTCCTATTGGGATATTTAAAACTATCTGATTTTGTAAAAAATAATATTCCCCCAAAATTCCAGTGAACAAGTATCACCAGCTACTCCCTTGAGAGGAACACAGAAGACTGGGATTTAAAAAAAACTCAATAGCTATAAACAGTTACATATCCTAAGAAAATAAGATAAGTGGTTATTTGAAGGGCTGAATCTGATAAAACATTAACGTTGTGAGCCTTCCCACCACAAAGTTAACACCAAGGAATAATACACAAAATATTTTTTTACACTAGTATTTCAACATAGACTTATTTAAAAAAAACAAAACAAAAAAAACTAAAAACATAGATTTATTTCTTCTAAATACCTACGACAGAAGAGAACAACTAGAATTTAGAACATGCCAACATGATTTAATAAGACTTTAGTGATTACATCTGTAACTTGATAAAAATCAATAAGATTGGCAGATAAGTAAAATTTCCTTACTAAAAGGCAAGTACAGTAATATAAAAATTTTTTAAATCAACTTTTATAATTAGTCATATTTTTAAAAGTACTGAATATACTATACTTGAGAACTAAGAAAAATTCTTATAAAAAAAAAAAAAAAACCCCAATGTGGGTGTGTAGAATTTTGTGTGTGTAGAAGTCTGATTAGAAGTTAACTTTTTCTTGCAAATTTATGTACTATGCAAATTGAAGATAAAGCAAACACATTCATTTCTAATTCAGCCAATAAAAAATGTGCCAATAATATTCCTGGTAAAGGTTAATCTAAGGTTTTTATTTTCATTTTCCTTCCAATCACTAGAGAACTACATAGTAATGATAATGTAATGGCACATACCCAAGAAAAGACAGAGTTAAAACCATTAATGAGACTGTGATGAAAGCTCATTATAACTGCATAATTCCTGGCCTATGGATAATAGATTCATTCTCCTCTATTACTTGTTATATGGTATTTATAAGCCCAATGAGAGTTAAATTAAAATGAGGCAGTCACACAATATAAACGGGATTGATACACATAGCATGGCAAGTATGACAAACTAAAAGGGAACTTTTTCATTCAAAATATTCCTAAAGCAGTATTACACATGAACTTGAGAAATTCAACAAAATGTATCATCACATTTAACAGATCATAATTCATATTACATAACCTGAAACAAAGTTGAAAATTAAGGTAAATTGTTTTTGACAATAATTTAGTGCTTTTTTCAAGATTATTTTTTAGACATTAATTAATACTCAAGTTCTAAAGTAAATATCATGAAAACATTCACTAATTATAAAATAACTACCATGAATAATAATAAAGAAGTTTTATGGGAGTACGATACCTTGGTTAGTGCAGCAGTATGATCTTCTCCACAACAAATATAAACTATTTTCTGAGTTCTTAGTGACTTTAGTAAAGTAGGAACATACCTATCTGAAAATTCCAACAAGAAATGTTAATGGTATTCTTAAATTAAAACTCTTCTAAAATGTGTTTCCTTTACAGCTTCCCAAGCTCAGTAGACAGTGGCAAATAATTTTTAACTGTAAGTCAATGATTTTGTAGTACAAGCCAAATTAGCTGGGTTCCCAGATCTTTTTAAAGGAGGGTTTTAAAGAGTAATTTAAGTGTTAAAGTGCCCTAACACAAATCTACACAGAACTAGAAATCAAGGAATTTCAAAACTATCTGTTTCCAATACACACACATCATTCTTTATATTTACCTCATGATAATTAAGCTCACAGGATTCTATTTAAATGCATGAAAATTATACTTCCTGCTACTTTGTACCAGAAAAAAAAATGTCATAATCTGACATATTTTTCTTATGCACAATAAAGTATTTTAAAATTCTGAGTGTTATTTGCTTATCATTACCAGTTGCTAGTTACTAGACCAACAACTCACTTTTGTCTACTTAAATCATGACAATTATGTTGAGCTTGATGAAATTAGTTTTTGTATTTCAAATATTGGCATTGAACTCATGCAGTTATGAAAAATCATTTCCAAGATCCTAACTTGTTTCAAGTAATTATAATTTTTTAAAATTCAAATTGTTTATTTTCAAGACTCCAGAATCCATGTTAAAAGTGAAGCCCAAGATAAAGATTTAATGACTCAGATTATTTAAATACTTCCTTGAAAAACTCAAATAGATTAACACTCCATGTTACTTTCCAGAATAATTTTACAACTTCTTTCCACCAATGATGGCCAGTAATGTGATTTCCAATTTGCAGTAATGTTTTTCACAACTTTCTTTTAATGAACATCTAAAAACAAAGATTTTTATCCAGATATACTTCCTAGAGTTTATTTTGCAATAAGATGGTATTTTCTGGCCTTCCCACAATCCCTTAAAAAATATTACCAAATGGAATTTTTAAATAAATCTTTAAGACAGATACCATATGTTTTCACTCTTATGTGGATCCTGAGAAACTTAACAGAAACCCATGGGGGAGGGGAAGGAAAAAAAAAAAAAAAAAGAGGTTAGAGTGGGAGAGAGCCAAAACATAAGAGACTCTTAAAAACTGAGAACAAACTGAGGGGTGATGGGGGGTGGGAGGGAGGGGAGGGTGGGTGATGGAGGAGGGCACCTTTTGGGATGAGCACTGGGTGTTGTATGGAAACCAATTTGACAATAAATTTCATATATTGAAAAAATAAATAAATAAATAAATCTTTTATCCCCTTCTCCGTATCAGGAAAGATTTGGGTACATTTCTTCCTGACATTAAGAATCATTGATCCATCTCAAAAGATCATCTCTTTTTAAGTACATTTATCTATAAATAATGAAAACCTACCATTTTCATCATTAAGACCTAGTTGACCAAATTTGTTGCGTCCCCATCCAAAAATAGCCCCAGAAAGGGTGAGTACAAAACTATGGGCTCCTCCCGCTGCAACTTGCATGAAAGGGATTCCAAGCAAAGACTTGATCAGCTGTGGTGAGGCTTGCTTTTTACAGTCAATGCCTAAACCCAATTGGCCATATTTATTTTGTCCCCAACAGAAGACTTCACTTGCTGTAAAACAGAAATTATAAAAGTAATTATTTTTCACATACATACAAAATTTCATTTGAAGATCATCAGTTATTTTGAGACATTCTCCCTCTCATCAAATAGAAATACATATTCCCCTTTTATATGGAAACATGTAAGAACATTCTGTATTGGTACACTTACAGTTTGACCAACTTTACTAATAAATGGGTAAGTCACATAACTGAGGGTAGTCTAGTCTCATTTCCTTACATTCCTTATGATAGAACCATCTCTTTTTAATATTCCTCAAGTCTCACTTTTATTCTTTGGTTTATCCCAAGAGGCACTCAACCAACTCCTCAGTTATTATACACTGATCACATTCAAAATTTTATCACTAGACCAGACCTCTCTTATAAGCAATAAACCCATGTACCCAATGATGTGATATCTACACTTGGATATTACAAAGGCACCTCCAGCTCAGTGTGTTCCAAACAATTTATGACCCCCCTCCACCTCCCATATCTGGACCTATTCCCAGTGTTCTCTATCTCAGTATGTGGTATTATAACTGACTCAGTAACACAACCCATAAACATAGAGAGTCATCCTTAACTCTTCTCTTACCTTATACACAGATTGTTATCAATCCATCACATACCACCACAGTTTTCCTACTAAAGAAAAATATGGCACATAGATCCACTCCTCACCATCTCACCTGATTCTCTCTACTTGTCACTTTTGCTCCCCCAACTGCCACCCTATTTTGCAACTTTAGACATCTTTTTATTTATTCTTATTAAGTGGCACTAATAATTGTTTTCAAAATTCACATGATAAAATAGTATACACTTAAAAATAAGTTTCCCTCTAAAAATTAGACCCCCAGGTCCTCTCCCAAGAGACAACCACTCTTACCAATTACTGGTATGTACTTCCAAAAATATTCTATGCACATACTAGCAGACATCTGTATATATACATAGAGGTATTATTAAAATATAGATTTGATAATGTTGCTCACCTGAAAAAAATATAGCAGTGCCTTCCCACTGGTACTGGGATAAGCACTTTTAACAACGTTAAAAGTAATGTTCTACATAATCTACCTGTTTCCAAGCTCTTTTCATATCAGTCTCTTCCCTCACTCACTCTACTCTAGTGACACTCATCTTCCTTTACATTCTCCAATGCTCACTTCTCACACACTTACAGTTCTCTCCGTGTAGACCTTCCCCTCATCTTTGTCTAGTTCACTTCAACTCTCTCCCAGAAGGAAGCAGGTTTCCCTGGTGGCCCATATTAAGTTCAGTCCCCTGCTATATGTTTTAAATAATCCTAAACTTTTTTCTTTACAGTCCCTTTTCACAGTACATAATTATATTATAATTTATATGAATATGACCATACCATTCAGTACCAGCTAGTAGTGTACTGCTTACCCCTACACATTGTACACTCTAAAGTGCCTAGTTCATAATGAGTGATCAAAAAAATCATTAAATGAGTAAAATACTGCTAAAGCCATGAAGCTGAACAAGGCAAAAGAATCCCTGTAAGTCAAGGCAGAAGACTGCCCTCCTCATCAGTAAAACCTTTGGGTTTAAATTTATTTGGGATCTACCTACCAAAATATCAAAAGAAGAGCTGACAAAATAACAAGAATACAGAGATGCCAGCTTCCCCACTGCCTATAGAAATGCAAATGCCTTAATACTGGCATTTAAGGCCTTTGTAACACATTACCTCAACTGAAGTATCAGTATGTCTCTCGTGTTCTCACAATACCCACATAAAACTATATGCTGATACTCAAATACACAAAATACTTTTCCTGATTTTATGCCTGATTTTTTCCCTGATTTACTGGTACTACCTCTTTAACCAATCCTCAACACTTCCTCTAGCTACTTCTCAACATTTCTCTAATCCTGAATAAATTTTGTTCATCGTTTAAGACTTGTATCAAATACTAAGTCTCTTATTGTTAACAAGTCTCTTACTGATTTGAACAAATTACTTTTTTCTTCATTCACATAGCATTTTACTTCGACCTTGACCAAAATAGTACAGTTTTTTTCTGCCTCAAACTAGTTATTTATTTGTATATCTGCTCCCTCCACTACATGTTATGATCCCTAAAATAATTCGTTCTGCTGGTCACTTTGGCTCCTCTCACTGCCACCCTATGCTGTCTGTAACTGTATTATCTTACCTGTATTTCCCCATAGCTCTAGCCTAGTGCTACATTCACAGTAGGCCTCACTAGACATTTAATGAATTAAATAATAATAATAATGAAGCCACTGGAACTTACACTTTAAATGGTAAAGACCAACATAGTAACCCACGCCACAATCCTTAGCTGGCATATGAAGAAGTTAAATGAATAAGAAACAAATGCAAACAAAGCTAAGAGAATGCTTATAGCCTTCTTTGTTTCTGTTCATAAAAAGTCTAAGATCCTAAATGAGACTGAGCAAGTTATAACCTTCCCCATCTATGAAGGCTTAGCATTTAGCACACTATAGAACAATTAGACACAAAAATCAACTTCATGTCTATATACTAGCAATAATCTGGAAATGATACTGTTCACAGTAAAAAAATGTCAAATATCTATGGAAAAATCTAATAGAAGATGTGTAAGACCTCTCCACAGAAAACAACAAAATACTATTGAGAAAAATTAAAAGGAGATTGAAATGAGGGACATAACATGTTCAAGAATTAAAAGATTCAATATTATAAGGATTTTCCTAAAACTAATTTACAGAAACAATTTAATCCCAATCAAAATCCCAGAATATGTGTGCCTGTGAAGACTGGCAAGCTAATTCTAAACTGTATATGGATATGAAAAAGATCAAAAAGAACCAGGACAATCCTGAATAAGAACAAAGTTGGAGGACTTTCTGCTCAATTCAAGTACCATGTAATAAAACTGTAAAAGGGCAAGAAAATGAAAACAATACTTACCTTTAGAAAGTGCAAGTGAATGATAGTAACCACAAGCAACCTGTACTATCTGGATATCTGACAAACTTTTAATATTTCTAGAAAATAAAAAAAGAGATCAAAATCAGTTAATTCCATTTAATAAATGGATCCTGAATACTATTTATTAATGCCATTTATTGACCACCTACTATGTGCAAGTAGTTTCCTACTGACCTAGTTATTTCATGGTATTTTTATACAAGTCAATGTACCCAACTATTTATGCTAACAACAGTAAACAAAATCTAGTGTGAAAAAATTAAGAGGTGTAATAAGAAAACACTTTGAAAAAAGTATTTAAGCAAAGTAAACTAAGCTCACGCCTCAAGTATTCCTCAGTGTTTTTATAATTCAGATGTTTTATCAAAATTAAAAAAAAATCTTTAGCTTAAAGTGTGAAACCTGGCAATACATTTGTGAAACAAATGTACATGAACTAATTTGTCTAAAATTGGTGTTTGGCTTCATTTAATACATGTTGTCTATAAGGCTCCTTAAGAATCAACAGAGATTCCTATCACGCGGTGCTACCAATTCACAGATTTGAAACCTATTCCTTTTGAGCTATCCTTTACCTCTGCATCTAAATCAGTGATACTGAACAATTTTTTAGTAGAGAAATTTACTCATCATATTTATTATGATCACTGATACGTTCAGTCCTATTTCTACCATCTTGCATTTTTTCTTTATATTTTTATAGTTTCTTCCCCCTGAGCCCAATTTCTGATTTTTCCTTAAATGTAACATAATCCTAAAGCTAATTTTTAAAACATTACAAAAATCAAGCAACTTTTTGCCTCAATCATCCCAGGTGTTTTTTATGCATTTCCCCTTCTCCTGGTCATTCTGTTTTTCCTGAATGAATGTTTTCAAGATAGAAAGGGGGAAGGAAACATAATATGTTTCTTATTTCCCTTTACCTGATACTGCCACCTGACCTGATTCTGCCATATGAGAGTCCGGAGCAAGTTCTGACCAGAGTGTCGATACCCATGATTTTCGGGAGGCAGCTTCAGCAAATCAAATTTTGAGCAGGAGAAAGGAGAGTTACTCTAATTCCATATTGTTGTACAAAAAATATTTTTATTTAGTGGATATATGTTCTTAACTATAAAACCTGAGGGCTGCATTGCTCTAAATTAGCAAAATCCAGCAGGTTAGCAGGATCCAATGCACCTTCAGATTTTCAAATGTAGCAAAATGCCATTTTTCTGCAATTAGCAAAATCAAACACTAGCAATGCAAAAACAGAAATAAAAAAATAAATGGATTTGTGCAACTGTGCTGAAGTTATTGAACATTCACTTTTACTGTTTTTGAATATCAGGCACATGATACACTGACCAGTGAACTATATTAAATATTTTTTAAAATGTATTAACTGTTTTTAAAAACCTGTTCCAGGTACCGAGTCCAAATAAAATATTTCAAATATTACACTCTCATAGCACCTTATGTTTTCTTCCTTCACAGCATTTATCACTGTTAATTACTAGTGTACTTATTCATTTAATTATTACTAGTGTACTCTGCTAAACAATAAGCTCTGTAAAGGCAAATTATGTGTCTTATATCCATAGAATTCCCAGCGCTTACCACAGTGCCTGGCAAAAAGTATGTAATGAATACACTGATAAAGGATAAATGAGTTTCCAAAGTCTTTGAGGCTATAGTAGTAAACCATTCATAAAGTCTGCCCCCAAACTTCTAAATTTGCATAGCAATTTACACTTGGTGACTTCCGCATTTCCAAAATTATTATACGGCTTGGTATACAACATAAATGTTAATTTCTTTGGCCATGTCTGCAACAGTGACAAGGAAAGATACTGTACTGGGGCATTATTGTTTATGGGGTGCCTGGATGACTCCGTTAAGCATCCAATTTCAGCTCAGGTCATGATCTCAAGATTCGTGAGTTCGAGCCCCACATGGGGCTCTCTGCTGTCAGCGCAGGAGCCCACTTTGGATCCTCTGTCTCCCTCTCTCTCTCCTCCTCTCCTGCACTCACTCACTCTCTCAAAAATAAACATTAAAGGGGCGCCTGAGTGGCTCAGTCGGCTGAGCGTCCAACTTCAGCTCAGGTCATGATCTCAGTTTGTGGGTTTGAGCCCCACATCAGGCTCTGTGCTGACCTCTTGTTCAGAGCCTGGAGCCTGCTGCAGATTCTGTGTCTCCTTCTCTCTCTGCCCCTGCCCCGCTCACACTTTGTCTCACTCTGTTTCTCAAAAATAAATAAATGTAAAAAAAATTTTTTTTAAAACAGAAAAGAAACATTAAAAAAAAATTTACGCTAACAATCAACCTAGCTCTACCATTAAAAAATACTTTTTCTGGGGCGCCTGGGTGGCTCAGTCGGTTAAGCGGCCAACTTCGGCTCAGGTCATGATCTCGCAGTCTCCGAGTTCAAGCCCTGCGTCGGGCTCTGTGCTGACAGCTCAGAGCCTGGAGCCTGTTTCAGATTCTGTGTCTCCCTCTCTCTGACCCTCCCCCATTCATGCTCTGTCTCTCTCTGTCTCAAAAATAAATAAACGTTCAAAAAAAAAATTAAAAAAAATACTTTTTCTTTTTAATCTAAAATTTAAATGTTTAAAATTGACTGAAATAAAGAAAATAAATTTTACTTTTGACCAAGCTGATAAGTCAAAAATCTTTAATTAGTTTCTATAATCCAGAAACCGCTGTTTTCACAAGGATCATATTATACCACTCTGTCATACTTTTTATTGCATATGTCCAAGAAACAGAACTTTTAAAAATACACTACAACTTTATGGCCTACAATGTTTCTAAAGGTTGTGTGGAAAAATATGTATTTCCACTCATACCAAACTAACAGATAGTAAAATTAGGCTTAAAATGTTTTTATAAAGGCAATAACATATATCCTACATAAAAAAAAAAAATAACTAGGCAGAAATCAGAGACCAGCATTGGTATTGAAGAATTTTAGTCTTTCCCCAAGAAGTAGTGATTTCAAAACAAAATAAAATTAGAAGTAGGAAAAGATCATTGAAGTCATATAAATTTCAAATGTAATCTATTATTAATTTTACATTCTTTCATCTTAAAGTGTGGCTTTATTTAAATATTCTTATCTACTAGCATAAAAGTGGATTTTGTTCTCAAGGAAGTACAGCCTAATGTGAATCATCATTTTTCTGATGATTCTTATAAAAATTACAAACACTAATTTTGGGGGCGCCTGGGTGGCTCAGTCGGTTAAGCATCCGACTTCGGCTCAGGTCATGATCTCACGGTCCGTGAGTTCGAGCCCCGCGTCAGGCTCTGTGCTGACAGCTCAGAGCCTGGAGCCTGCTTCCAGTTCTGTGTCTCCCTCTCTCTCTGACCCTCCCCCATTCATGCTCTCTCTGTCTCAAAAATAAATAAACATTAAAAAAAAATTTAATTATAAATACTAATTTTTAAAAATCTATTTACATACAGTTTTCACCAATCTTCTATACGTTTTATTCAAGATGAATGAGAAATTTATGAAGCTGGCTGATACCTCTAAGCATACAGAAAAGGCCTTGCAGCTAAAAATGATTTGGCTCCCAGAAAAAATAAAATAAATAAAATAAAATAAAAATGATTTGGTATCAAAATTTAAAAAGAAAAAAAATCACTGGCAGTCTTTCACAAAAATGTATTTCTACTATGTCGTATATTGCTTTGATTTCAAACCTATTTATGACAAAAATGAAACTGTTCTTAAGAGTAAAGTTGTTGTGATATAAAGATGAAGTAAGTTGTGTCAGGATGTCATCATCTCATCTGCTCTGGATGAACTCAGTGGCTTAGCTGCTGAGAGGCCAGCCCCACTGGGGGCTTATCAAGAAAAACTATAGCAAGAGAACATTTAGACTATAAATACTGAGAGTTTGTGAGGATTATTGCAGAGTCTTAGATCTTGGCAAGGCTACTCTTTGCTGATCTAAGCAGTTCTCCAAGGACCTTAGAGCAATTAGCTCCAGCCATAGTAAAGGAGACTTTCTTTTTAGTTTATTTATTTATTTTGAGAGAGAGAGACCGAACATGAGCAGGGAGAGGCACTGAGAGAGGGAGGGAGAGAGAGGGAGAGAGAGAATCCCAAGCAGGCTCCATCCACACTGCCAGTGCAGAGCCCAATGTAGGCCTTGAACCCATGAACTGGGAGATCATGACCTGAGTTGAAACCAAGAGCCAGATGCTTAACTGACTGAGCCACCCAGGCGCCCCCATAGTAAAGGAGACTTTTTAAACCTCAGTGGTAAAAAAAAAAAAAAACAAGCAGCATCCCTGGGAAAAAGATCCTCTCACCCGTCAACACATGCTAGGTGCATCCTTCCCTAGCAAGGTGCTCTGAAACAGGACTTTTATATTTGTGCTGGCAGGAGGACATCAGCTCTCAGTTGGCTAAGCCATCTCTCCCTAGTACCAAGTCATATGAAAGTATATCTCAGCTAAATTTGATCTTTATTACTATCATCTCCTCTTGCTTGAAACAATAGTGTGATTTACCTATCACTGGTTTGGAGTATGTTATTTATTTACTGGCTTAATAACAGACATTATCCCATATGCTACTGGCTTGTGAAATTCCTGCAGTAAATCTGTGATAAATAGATTGCTGGCAAAGACAAACTCAGCTTCTGAGCATGAATTGCCTCAAAACAAAATATTGCCCTTTAACACACGAAAATATCAGTAAAAATATGTATATATCATAACAAATCAGATCGGTCCGTTGAAAACTGAGTAGGTTGAACAGGAAAAATGCCTTAACACAGAGCTTAAAGTTAATACACATATTTAGCAAATACAAAAACATACAAGTTTAAACCAAACGACTCACAAAAGATCTCTTCCAGGTCCCTATCCAGGTTCATAAAATAATAAAGTCACAAATACATAATTTATTATAGGGCATTGTTCAAATAAACTCATATAATAAACTATTCTATATTTAATTACCTTTCTTTCCATTTAATAAGAATCTACGGATTACTGACTGAAATCCCCTATACGAGAAGTGAACAGCAACAAAAATATAAGTATGATTTTAAGAAACCAGTAAACATAAAAGAGATTAGAAAGTTTGGACCTAAATCTTGGTTTTGAGAATGTTGACTTAGACGATCAAACATGTAAGTCCCTTTTCAATCCTAAATACACACAACTTAAAATCTTAAGTTAAAAATCCCATTCTACAACAATTATTTATGGAGGGAATAAAAGCAGTAGAGGATATGACAAACGTGAGGTCACTATGTTTCTATGAATGCTTTGTATTATTACCTAGCCAATAGCCATTTGGTTGCAAATTACCATTTTCTGAAATAAATCTAAATTGAAATAACTAAAAGAATTCAATTTATTTACCTTAAGAAAAAAAAAAAAAAAAGCTTCTCCAAAGAGCACTATCATTAAGAGATATTAAAAGCATAATGAAAGTTGTGTTTGTTATTTAATTGTTAAAACAGAAGAAATAAAGGGAGGAGCACCTGGGTAGCTCAGTTGGTTAAGCATGAGATTTCAACTCAGGTCATGATCTCCCAAGTTGTGGTTTGTGAGTTCAGGCCCTGTGTTGGCTCTGTGCTGACAGCTCAGAGCCTGGGGACTGCTTCAGATTCTGTGTCTCCCTCTCTCTCTGACCCTCCCCCCATCTCTCTCTCAAAAATAAACAAATATTAAAAGAAGAAGAAGAAGAAGAAGACAAAGAAGAAGAAGGAAAAAAATAATAATAATAATAGGGAAGAAATTGGGGGAGTTTTATGGAATTTAGTTACAAGGTAAATCAAGAAAATATGTGAATATGATGTATCCAAAAGTCTGAAAGGACAGGTCACTACTAGAACAATTATAAAATGTTAAAGACCAAAAAATAAAAAAATAAAAAACCCACTTTTAATAAATTAGAACCAAATATTTTAAATACTTTTAGGTTTTTCAATAAACATATACACATAAGGGATTATAGGCTTACTGAAGGAACTACCTACCTTTCCTACTTAAAAAAAAAAAAACTCATTTCTAACAATAAGTTTCTGTTCTGAAATATATTAGTTCCCATGTTCCATTTTCTTATCCTAGTAAGTTATTTCTTACTCCTTAAACCAAAACAAACATTATCAATGTTAAATTCATAAACAAAATATCTAAATGTGTGTAAAATAATGCTACCTAGAATAAATCTAAAATTAGTTTAATACCTTGTTTCACTGGAGAGTTCTCTTTTGTCCCTATAACTATTACTAGGAAGAAAGAACAAGAGTTTAAGGAAGCAAGAATTTGTAGAATTTAAAAAACAAAGCGTGAGTTAATGTATTATTTATGTATTGAAAACAAATTGGATACTTTCTTTAAATCTCTGTATTTTTACCTAAACATGTTCATGCTCTTAACAATGTTTAATATTAAAACAATGGCTATGCCCTATGTAAATCTCTAATACAACATTAATGAGGCATTTATTTTTTAATTTTGAAATAAACCTATGATGAATTAGTGGTTAACATAAGTTGTGGCCACTGCTTTGTAAAAAAGTGGAAAGTGACTGAATTCTTTATACTAAGCATGTGGGACTTCTATATTCAATAAAAACCATAAAGACTAAAAAAACAGGACAAAGAAACATGCAACCAACCAATATTTAATAAATATTTCAATAGCTGAGGTACTCAAGATGGTACAATCAGCAGTTTAAATTAGCCTAAACCACTTTAAAATTTTAGAAAGTATTTATAATAAAGTACATATTCCCCATCTCTTTTCTTTACAAACATAAATAATTTAGGGGAAAATGATGTAAAAAAATAGCACTTAGCCCAAATTATAGGCAAGAACCTACCTAGTAAACTCCTTAAGAACTCAAACGGGAGAAATAATTAGATGTCAACTCTTACAGGCCCTCAGTAAACAGAATAATTTAGATAACAAATTTATTATAAAAGATTGTTAAAGACCTCTTTTTGGTCACCTTTGTTACCTGGGTACTCTGATACATTCCTCTGATCCTAGCAGGCCAAGCTGTCCATCAGAATCGAGACCCCAAGCATACACCTGGCCTTTGTCATTTAGTGCTAATGTATGAGCTTCTCCACATGAAACAGCTACGATATTTTGGGCATCCAGGGCAACAACCTGCTCTACAGAAATCAAGAAGAGAAATATTACATTCTAGTTTTGAACTACCAATGAGAATAAAACACAGTCTTCATCTTGTACAAAAAAGCTTAAGAAAATGATAAAATACAGACTAAGTGTAACACTAGTTATTCTGAAAAATTTAACAAGTATGTGCCACATAAAATTCTCATTGTGGTAAATACAGATATACATCCTAGGGTATAAGCAATTCAAAATATTAAGTGACTTGAACATTTTGGGGAAGAAGTTTAAGGTTTATAAAATTACTGAGAAAGTTACTCTTCATTCAAAGCCATTGCCAGTAACAGCTAAAAAGGGAATCATTTAAATATCCTGGACTATTTAATAATAAAATCATAATTGACATACACTACTATGGAGTGATTCTGAAATTAATAAAATAATCTGAATTGGGAATTTCTGATAGAAAAGGACCTTCTTTACAGATCTCATAAATGATGCATCTACTAGGTATTCTGAGGGCCTTGAAAGGCAATGTAACCATAACAAATAGGTTTCAGTTTATGGACTGCCATTTTAACATCAAATATATAAAAATCCATATGTGGTTAAAATGTGTTCAAGTTTTAAACTAAAAATTAATTTAAGCATTGGTCCTTCATAAGACTGTCAACAGCCACTGACAAACCAGTAAAGAAAGTGAAATTGTTTCCTTAGTCTCCTTAGGATGCATAATGTCTACCAGTTTTTTACTAGTACTATTACATGTGTTTTTAGGATGAACCTTTTTTTTTTTAGCTTAGTAATAAGAAAGATATGATTTTTGTCTTCAATAAACCTAAGCTTCATGTTGAAGAGTCGTTAACTGAACCAATCAGGGTTTCTTCTGAAGCACACTTTAGCTCAGTGTACAAAGCAACTGTTCAATAAAGAAACTAATTGCATCAAGAACATTTAAATTCCTATGTTTAGAGAAATTCAAATGTTTAGGATTACTACCCTGCCATTTTGGAGTGGGAGATTATATAGCCTCTAGAATCTTTACAACTCTAATGATATGTTATTTAAAGTACTTACCTTAAAGTACTGAGTTAATAACTCGTGAAGCTGGTGTATGTAGAAGTTCATTATACTAACCTTTTGCTTTTTGTATATATTTTTGTGTATACGTTTTTATGAAATTATATTGTAGGAACATACAAAACAAGAAACAAGAAGAACAAGATATAACACACTGTCTCCTACCTCCCACAAA